TAGAGCCCAGCCTCTCGAATAATCTGCTCTGCATACATGTTGAAAAGGTGTGGAGACAGGATGCATCCCTGGCATACGCCCTTCCCAATTTTGAACCATGCAGTTACCCTGCTCTGTTCTGACTACTGCCTCTTGGTCCAAGTATAGGTTTCGTATTAGCACAATTAAATGTTCTGGGATTCCCATTCTTCTCAGAGTCAGCCACAGTGTGTTATGATCCACACAGTCAAATGCCTTTGCATAATCAATGAAACACAGACATTCTTCTGGTATTCCCTGCTTTCAGCCAAGATCCATCTAACATCAGCAACGATATCCCTAGTACCACGACCCCTTCTAAACCCAGCCTGGACTTCCGGCAGTTCTCTGCTGATGATTCTATTTTCACTGAGCATTTTCAATTTCAGTAATTTGGGGAGATTGAAAATGAAATCAAGCCTATATTTATTAAACTGAGTAACTCTTAATTCACAAATTGAGCTGTTAAAACCCTCAATTTTTCCATCATTTGACTTGCAGTTGTCCAGAACAAGTTCTCGGACAGCCGCCGGGGTCTGGTTCAACTCCAGTTGGATCCTTCTCTCCATGGTCCCCCCCTTCCCCTCTCTCTTCAGCCCTTGGAAGCGGGGTGCTGGCGGCTGAGGCCCACGGTGTTGTCCTGGGCGGCGGGAGGGCGAGCAAGCGAAGCCCCTGAAGCCAAGTTACTCACGAAGCAAAGAGAAACTACCTACGAGGGAAAAGCGGGGCTGGAACGCAACGCTAGACTCACTACCGCCGCCCCCAGCCGCGGATCCGCACTGCGCTTAAACCGGCTTCGCCGCGTGGGCGGATGCTCGGCTCCACTCCGTCCTGCAGTTTGGCGCTTCGTCAAAAAGCTGAGCATAGAAATTCCGTATGACCCAGCTATTCCACTGCTTGGAATATACCCTGAGAAAATGAGAACTGAGGCACAAACAGAGACTTGTACACCGATGCTCATAGCAGCGTTATTCACCATCGCGAGAATATGGAAACAGCCTAGATGTCCAAGCACAACCAAATGGATTGAGAAAGTATGGTATATCCACATGATGGAATACTATGCAGCACACAGGAGCAATAATTTTATCACGACTTAACTTGGGAGAGACTGGAGACTGTATTATGCTGAGTGAACTAACTCAGTCACATAAGGACAAATAGCGTATATGACCATTATTATAGAACGAGTATCTTCATACTCCAAGAGGGGGAGGGTGGGAGCAGAAGGGTGAGGGGGGAGTGTTAAACCATAGTCTCACAGTTTGATGTGTGGAGGGAGGGGTGGGGAAAGGAAATGCAAAGATCTGGTGTAAAAAAAAAAAGTATATGAATTTTGTAAGTAAATCATTATAAAATATAAACTTTATTTATTTTTTTTTAAAATGGGACCTCACCTCTGCACTACAACCAGATGAACAAACTTCCATATGAATTGGTAGGGCATTCTTATTCTCCCAGGCACAACCTTTCTTTTGTGGTCAGAAGACCAATACCATTTTGTATCTCATGTTGGGAAACTCCATGCTGGCAGGTGCAGAGTGCATGAACTTGCCAATGCTATTTTCAGTCTGGCACTGGAGAAACTGGAATAGCTTTTCTGACAGAGCTAACTATTCTATTTCTCACAGACAACCCTAAGGACTGCCACGCCTGTTAACCATTCTTGTGCTATAACCCCACCCATCTAAGGACCTCATGACTCCAGCAGGCAGGCTTTGTTGAGAAACACCACAAAAAGCCCAGGCCACACCAGAACAAAAATAGCCTATAAAGCTTCTGTGACACTGATTCACAGTCTGACCCTCCAGTTGACCACATCCAATGCTAGTTGAGAGCTGGAGGGTGGAACTGTGAGCCAGTGTCATGGAACAAAGCAAGCAAAACACCACATTAAAGAAGAAAGCAACAAAATGGCAGCCATAAAATCTCCCCAGATGATCATATTGCATGTGGATGGATTAAATGTACCAGTTAAAAGAGTAGCAAAATGGATAATAAAATAAAACTCATTAATATGCTATCTATAAGAGGCATCTGAGACATGAATATAAAGATAGACTAAAAATCAAAAGGTAGAAAAAAAATATCAAATGTCAACAAAAAAAGGCAAAAAGCAGAAATGGCAAGAAAAACAAGCATATAAGACAATATAGGATATTACATAATAATTAAAGGGTCAATAAAACAAGAGGATATGCATTAAATGATAAAGCTGCAAATGACAAAAAGCAAACCTTAACAGACTTGAACAAAAAGACAACAAGTAATAGTAGGAAGCTTCAATATACTACTGTAGTTAAAGGACTGACTGACTAGAAACTCAACAAACCTGCAGAAGAACTAAACTGTACAACGAACCAAATCAATCTCATATATATATACAACATCCCACACAACAAAAGTTCAATAGTGCACACAGAACATTATCTAGAATGGACCTTATGTGATGTCACAAAGCAAGTCTTAATAATTAAAAAGCATTGAAAACTACAAAATATCTTCTCAAAAAAAAAAAAACCAAACAAAATATCTTCTCAGACCATAATGTATAAAGTTAGAAATCACCAGTAAGAGGATAAAGGAGAAAGGTGGACTTGAAAGCTAAATAACACCTCACTTGATCACTACTGAGTAACAGAAGAAATAAAAAATGAAATTAAAAACTTTCTTGAAACAAATGAAAATGGAAACACAAATACTCTGATATGCAAAAAAAGCAGTACTCAAAGTTCAATTCATAGCAATAAACAAATACATCAAAAAGGAAGAAAGAATGAAAATTAACTCTTAAACTCAACATCTCTAAAAAACAGAACAAGAGAAGCAAGCAAACTCCAAGAAGAAAGGACATTATAAACGTAATAGCAGAAAAAAATAGAAGATAGAAGAACTATACTATCAACAAGATCAAGAGTGGGGGTTTTGGGGTTTTTTTGAGTTGGTTCTTTGAAAGGACCAAAAGTTGGTAAACCATTGGCAAACTTAACGAAGGAAAAGAAAAAGAAGGCACAAATAAATTGAATAAGAAATTGAATGGTCAATATTACAACCAAACCAACTGAGGGGAAAAAACAATAGAATATTGCAAAGAACTATATATGCTTCAGATGTGAAAATCTAGAGGAAAAGGACAAATTTTCAGAAACTCATATCCTACCTAAACTAAAACAGATATCACCCAAAGAACCTACTGACGAATATCCTTCATGAACACAAACACAAAAATCCTTAACAAAATTCTAGTCAACAGAATCCAACAACATATGAATAGAATAATGTATAATAATCAAGTGGGATTCCTATCAGGTACAGAAGGATTGTTCAATTTAAGAAAAGCAATCAGTGTAATCCAATATCAATAAAACTAAGGGAAAGAATCACATCATTATCTCAATTGATGCAGAAAAGGCTTTTGACAAAAAATGCACAACAAAATAGGAAGAGGATGGAATTTACTCAACAACATAATTAAAAGCACATGCACAAACAAATAGCCAACAGCATCTTCAATGCACAGAGATTAAAGGCCTTCCCCCTGTGAACAGGGACCAGACAAGGATACCCACTATCACCAATCCTATCCAGAATTATATCGGAAGTCCTAGCAAGAGCAATAAGGCAAAAAAAGGAAATAAGAAGCATCTAAATTGGATGCTAAAGAAGTAAAACTATCTCTATATAAAAATAATGATAATGTAAGTAGAAAACCCCAAATATTAAGTAAGAAAACTGCTGAACCTAGTAGACTAATTCAGCAAGTGGCAAGATACAAGATCAACATATAAAAATCATGCAGCTTTCTCTATAGTAACAAAGAAAAGGAAATAAAAACACTAATGATAATAATCATAAATTGAAATGTCTATGAATGATTGAATGAAAAATAATTTTAAAAAAGAAGTCAAAAGACGTGTCGCATGGGAAAAATCTGCAGTCAAGGACCTCTTTAAAGTGCTAAAGAGCTTGCTTTAAAGATGCCAGTTTAAAAAATAAATAAATAAATAAAAAGATGCCAGTTTAAAGACGAAGGTGTACCTTAACTGAACCTGTATGCATCTCAAAGTTGGACAATGAGTAAGGAAGACCAAAGCAGAATTTACGCCCTTGAACTGCAGTGTTGCTGAAGCATACTGAATATCCTTTTATTATCTTTTGGTAAAAGAACAAACATGTCTTGGAGGAAGTACAAGTAGGGAGTTCTTAAAGGCAAGAATGGTGAAACTTCATCTTATATACTTTGGACATGTTATCAGGAGAGGCCAGTCCTTGAAAAAAGACATCATGTAGAGAAAGGTGGAGGGTCAGAGGAGGACTCTAAAAAAGACAGATTGATACACAAACTATAACAATGGGTGTGAACATAGTGAAGATTGTAAGGATAGCACAGGACAGGGCAAGGTTCAGATCTGTTGTTCATTGGGTCTCCCTGAATTGTAGTCAATTCAATAGCATATAACATGATGAAGAAAATATTTTGTGTGGTTTCATTCATTACTTTCTTGAAAGAAATTCCTTGGTATTTAATAGCTATGTGAGATGTATGTGCCAGGTAAATAATAGTAATCCAGGATCATTACAATGGTTTCCATATTCTCAGTGGAATGACTAGTTTGGTCCTGAGAGAAGACAAAAAAAAGATTTTTGGAAGACTGATTCAGCTGTTTATCTTTCATTGTTATCAAGTAGATAAGTAAATGCATTTGCAAAGGTATCCATTAAAATGGAATGTTTCTCTCTCTGGGGTGAACACTGAAATAATTCTGGTATTTAGAAGGCAAATGCTGTTAGTTTCTTCTAATATAAAGATTAAAATATCTGTATGAAAAGGGAGGGTAAAAGTATGATAATTAGAACAGCATCTTGAAAGGGAATGTTATATGCAAAGAAGGAAGGGTTAAGAAGTTTCTCAATGCTTAAGTGAGAGCCCTGTCCTTTCATCAGTGCTTGACCTAAGCTAAGGCACGCCTCCTGTGACCTACCTTGATGAAAGAGTACAGAGACTTTCCATAGAGTCTCTTGAAGTTGGCTCGAATGTCCAGCATGTCAATCTCTGCTCGAGAAACCATCACTCTGATGAGGGTGTCATCATCAGTGCCCAAGCCCTATGTAAGAAAACAAAATCCTCACATTACTTTCAAGTCTTTCAAGTTTTCAGGTGGTATTCTTCCTCAAATGATCAAGGTAAGTCTATGTATAACCCTCCTGACAATTCCCTTAGTTGGACGTTGGACACAATCTCAGAAACCTATGGAACATGATATTCAAGGCTCTTCTCAATGTAACCTTTTCCTAACACAGTAAGTTCTGACCAATGAGACTGCTCTCTGTCATTCTAGAAACATAGTCTGTACTTTCCAATTTGCCCTAAACACAGTACTTCCCAATGATGGGAATGCCCTTTATCACCAACCTTATTATTATTATTACTCCCCTTTCCATTGTGGAAAATTCTCCTATGTTAAATTTTTTTCTAAGAGTCTGATCAAATATACAAAGTTTTTTTATATGACTTTTAGAAAGCTCATCTTTCTCCTTCAGAGCAGCTAGTGGATTCAAACTGCCAAAGTTTCAATTAGCAGGTCTATATGTTACCCATTCAACCACCAGCCCATCTCATCTCACTAATACATCATGAATGTCAATGTTTATGTGTCCCATTTAATTTTTCGCAATTTCTAGTTTTCCAACATTCATAGTCCATAGATTCCATGTTCCAACTATTAAAAGATATTTGCAGTTGTTTCTCCTCATTTTGATTGATTTCCAATCTGGACTCTACCTCTAATACTATTATCTATCCCTGTTCCTCTATTGTTAATAGGGTTTTCAGAGGCCTGTTATTTCAGAAGTGGATGAGATATTCATTCTGACTTACTGAACTTGACAACAACGAATAACAGCAACTACCATTAGGGCTCCATTGGATATTTTAAGTATTTGATAAATATTATTATTATTATTATTATTATTACTCAGGTGGCCTAATGGCAAGATACTGTGCTGCAATCCCAAAGGCAAGCGGTTTGAGGCCACCAGCTGCTCTGCGGGAGAAGGATGGGCAATCTACTCCCGTGCAATTAACTGCCTCTGAAAACACACTGGAGGGTCAGCTACTCTACAGCACACAACTACCACAATATTATTATTATTATTATTATTAATTATCATTCCCTGAATATTTGATGAACTGAACTGAGTAACCCAAGCTGAAGTTGGAGGAAAGAGTACAATAAGTATGCAATTGACGATGGACACACGACATGCCACAGTCATACAGATGCTAAAAATGAGGCCATTTACCTTCATGGATTTATACAGCCTCTCCGCAAAATATGCAGGTTTGTTCCTCATGCACTTTACTGTCGGGAGGTAAAAAGAAAATATTATAGAGAAGACCTAGAGAAAAAGAAAGTGATAGTTGTTCCCTCTGTTTTTGTATCAAGAAGTAGCTCTTGATGATTTTGCCTAGCTTAACAGTGTTTCTTTAAGCTACGTTCATGACATTTTCACAGGCGGAAGGTACTCTTAATTTATCATTAATTTCCCAGAGAACTAGTTAATAAGGGTCATCCAATAAAGACTAGTATGTAGTTTCAAAATGATGATTACTATCCATTATATAAGATAGTTCTTAGTTCCAAACATTTATAGATTTGCAGTTATTATATATATTATTATATA